TAAATGCTATCAAAGGAGCAGTATATTTGATTGGAATTTTTCGACTGACTATGAGAAGCGTCTCTTAATATTCATCGCATTAACCAGTCCACCAGTGGTAACTCGTTTGCTCGTTTACTCTCTAGTTGGTATATCCTTTTAGCATTATTACCGTGCATGTTCGTACTTCACGTTGTTGCTCCTCCTTAGCTTACCAATATGCAGTTACGGAAAGTAGAAGAACAGACAAGTTCATGGAGATCGGCATATTAATAAGGAAACTCTTGATGCAATTCTCTCTTTCTCGATTTTTTCTACGCCCTTCTCATATTCTTCTCATCTCTAGTTTATAATATATGTATTTGTGTGTGTGTGTGTGTGTGTGTGTGTGCGTGCGTATTATGTTTTAACACTGGTTCTTGCCATTATTTAAATTATAAAAGAACTAGTAAGAGATAGAAATAAAAAAACGATGGAGAACGAAGGAGAAAAGATGAGAAAAGTTAGAAGATTAAAAAAAGATAATAGGATTAGTACAAGGTAATCTTTTTAATGGGAAATATATATAAAATTTTTACAGGAATTAGCAATATTTTTAACGGTCGATTAACTGTTTAAGTGGCAGGAGATATCAAAAACATTTTGTTGAGAAATAACAAGTGGGCGTGATAATGCTTGATTCAATGTATTTCAAGCGCACCGTTAATTGCATAAAGCGGTCCGATACTCCAACACATTTCCATATAAAATATGAAATACAGCATCAATAGCCTGGCTATATATTACAAATGTCTGGCATTTAAATAGTTAACACTTTTTGTGGGGGACGCTTTTTGTGCGGGGCATATGAACTTTGGTTGGAAACGGCCACTTTTCGCGGTCATTCATCATTTAATATACGTTCCCTTGATAATATCTTGCCACGAAAAGATATTACCTTATCAAATACTATTTTATTCAAATTAATAAAAACAATCTTTTATGTATGATTAAAAATACTTTTACTTAAGATTATTCTATTAGTATTTTAAAAAATAAGGGAACATACAATATTGCACAAAACAATGTGTTTAAAATTCACAAATTACAAAACATTGCCGTACGAATGTTGTGTATTTGTTACACTCATGGATCCTGTAAAGAACTAGCCTATCTCAATTAATATTTGTTTTCTTTATGATATACTTTCTCATCAAAAGAAGCATTATACCACTTAAGTTTCGACAGTTTACTTAATTGTGTGAGGTAGTTTTTTCTTGTTTGCATTTCTCCTCAAAAAGTATTCAAAAAGTCAAATCCCAATGACATCGAATCTTACATTAAATTTTTTCTTGTAGAATATCTAACATTTTATTATATTATATTTTATTACATATACAACAAATTTTCACGTGATAAAAGCGCTCATATTTTCTAGACGACTTCATTTGTTTATATAGTAGAAGAAATGGCTGACTTGACCTAGGGTCTTTGATATACATCATATGATTTACCTAACGGGTAATATAAATAAATATGTTAAGAGATCTTTGATCATAAACAAATGTATTTCCCAGTTCAATAGTCTCACATTTCTACATTGGTCAACAATGGTCGGATCAAACACGATAGGTAGTTTGATCAATGAAGATTAGTATTGTTAGTACTAAGTTGATTTTAAGAAGGATTTAACGAGTCAAAGGTGGACGAAGTTTGATCACAATTATTCGAGTGTCTCGCACGAGAGATTACAAAGGTAGTATTACTACTTTCATGTCTTAGACCACAAGTTCAGAGCTCAAAACAATTGACTTTCACGCGGTTTCCGGCACCTGTGGTGCCTTCTCGCTTAATTGTTGAATCTTCCAATGACGCAATTGTAATATCAATTGCCTCCCTTGGAATTTCCCTTCTTAAGAGTGCCTGATTGATAGCCTAGCGGTAAACAGGGTAAGCCTGAACGCCAAGGATGTTGTTGTGACCTGCAAGGAGAGACATTTAATATTTGGATCAAACCAGAGCCAGTTGCTCACAGACAATTTTTAGAAAGCAGGCGTAAAGGCATCAAACGTAAGAGTCTCTTTCGTTAGATTTAGGAACAAGAAAAAAGAAGTGACAGAAACTGATCATTGACCACTTGTGTTGGCATAATGGCACTTGTTAGCAGTCTTTCGATCTGTCATTTTAATTGCAGGTGGACAGACCTCCAAAAATTGGCTTTAAATGCCTCGCAAACCTGCTTACGTTGCTATTTAATATTAACGGTTCTGAGACCGCAGGTACTGATAACGAAAACTGGCCTGATCTCTGATATGAAGGCTGTCTCGTCTGATTCCTTGGAGTTGGTGGTTTTCTCTACGTCCAGGATTTCATGCTCCCCTGAGATACCGACTTCTGGTCCGACAAGCTCCTCTAATTTAAAGTATTGGATGAAACAATATTTTTCTTGAGAACTGGTGGTCTCTTTTCGTCCACCAGTTTCTCCCTAAATAAGTAAAAATCTGTGACTCTTTTTTCCAAGGCTGTGTTCCATTGTTTTGATAGAGTCGACAGAATACAAGCCTTGCAAGTCATTATCTGAGATCGGGGCATCTCAATAAGAAGCTTGGACGCATTCCAAATCCCTCCTCCCCTTTTTTATATGAAGTTTGTTTATTTACAAAACCTCTCTTTCCTCTTGGATAATTAAAGCAACATCATTTCTACTTTACCTTCCAGATAAAGTCAGATTACTATGTAAAAGTCTATTGTGTCTCTCGCGTACAACAGATTTCATTTTTATTGGCCTAAATAAGGCGCTATCAAAGAATGAACCTCTCGGATAAACTAATTCAATGATATAAACCGTTCTATTGATCAGATTCGTGTCATAAGTATTACTCTCAATGAAAATATGGGATCCAAATTTACCTTCGCTTATAGTATCTTTTCCCATAGCCTCTAGATCATCACTCCTGAATGGATGCAATGCTAGTCAGTATTTTTCCCATCATATTCTTGAGTAATCTCTTGGAGTTACTCTTTTTCTCAGAACGATCCCGGCTCCTAGACCTCTTTTTTTTTTACCTTCCATCGTATACATAATTTAAGAAAGAATTAAAATACAGAAACTTAAAATCACAACTTGAACTAAACATGTGGTCTGTATAACACAAAAACAATGAATGAGTATTAACATCGAAAAGCCGCCGGAAACTACGCGAAAGTCAATTGTTTTGTGTTTTAAACTTGTGATCTAAGACTTTGTGGTCTAAGATACTAACTTTGTAATCTCGAAGTGCGAGAGACAATTAATTATTAGAGATATTATTAGAGCATTGAATTTTCTTGCTAAACATATTTAACATATGTTTTTTACTATTTATATTAGATTAGATTTGCTTTTATTATAAGTGAGGAGAACTCAAGATAAATTATATTCTACGATGTAATATCGGGATTATAATATTAAAAATATATTTAATTAAAATTAACACGCAATACAGAATTATTCTTCTCGTAATTCTTTTAATAACCTATGATTGTAATTATTTTATATAAAATAGATTACTCTAACTGTAATCGATGACTTTGATCATATCGATGATTTAAACAACACTGCTTAAGACAAAACCTTATCTGATATTAATACGTATCTAGTGCCACGTCATTGAATCAGTGGAGAAAAAGAAATAGCTTGATGCTTATCACGACTCTAAAAAAGAACATACGATCTATCGCTCATCACACATACGTGAAGTTTTCTTTGCATGTTACGCTATTTGTTTAGTTATCTACATAACTATAATGTGTTTTGCAATATGAATTAATGAAACAAAATGCGATACGCATGTAGGCACAATCTTAGTACATCGAATAAATGAGGAAGAACTTTAATGCGTTTATACAAAGACTTAACACTTGGCCCGTTATGCTTATTTAAATATAAATGTAATATAATATAAAATGACTGAAATGAAATAAAAATGAAATGCTTCGTAATATTATCAGATGATGTATAATTGAGCCAGTGATTATGAAAGTGATCTAAATCATAAATTAAAAAAAATTAGTTTATTGTGTAATTCATATAATTAGATAACTGTCATACACTCTTAAATGTAAGTCTGCGTGTACACTGTTAATTAATCCTCGCCAATTAGGTCAACGAAAAACCAAAAGATCAGGCATCCAAATTTGGCAACTCGAATTTGTTAGTATTGTAATGTTTGGTCTCATAAACCAGCAAAATTGCAGGTTTATGGAGAGATAGTCGAGACGATCGCCTCTAGCTCGTTGAAGGTTATATTTGCCAGTGTCTGGTCTCTAAGAAAGTTTCTTGTAGTGTGAACGTGTACATTTGATTCAATGTATTTCACATTAGCGATGTCACACTAGCGATGTACGGGTGACTTGTTCGGTCGTTTGGTATTTTGTTCGTTCATCGATTTGGTCGTCGACGATTGATTTAAAATTAATGTACGTTCTTAATTCGAATCAAACTATCTGCTTATGTATGAACAGAATACGTATCGAGAAACTCATTTCAGTGTTGTCGGTGAATTTGAAGAAGAACTCAGCGTACTAAAGAATTCTTTCAAATTTGAAGGTAGAAATCTGATTATAACAACGTTTAAATCGTATATACCAGCCGTAAGTATTTAATGAATTTTTCTGAGATAATTTTGAATCTAACTTAGAAGACATCCATTAATGTCTTTAAACAGATCGAAGCTTTTAAAAGATGCAAATTCTAGTGAGCACCCGTGGTTGGTTGTATTTTCGGACGAGTTTTCATTTATTTATTCGATGACCTTCCAGTCGCTTCGATTTTCCGTCAAACGATATTCATATCGTATATTTCGCTCTCATATGGCGAGTGATATAAATTCGTATCTTGTTTGAGGCTATATACATAGTATATATACATAGGCTATCGACAGTCAGCAGACTCGTTTCGATGAAATAAATGTATGCATTTGAAAACAAAAAAAAAAAAGAATAAAAAAAGCTATGATGGTTCAGAAAGTATTAAGTCCTTTTTTCTTTTCTTTTTTTTTCAGAATGGAAACCTTTCAAGAGGCTGGCGTACAGATGTTAAAGGAATTCAGGGCTCTCTTGCAACATTCGCCTTTACCACTACCTGGCACGCGCTTGTTACAACTCCTGGCTTTGAACATGTTCGCGATCGAGACGACGCAGCTGAAAGGTGAGTGACTTTTATCTCGATCGCAACGAATCTCTTTTCATTTTCGGATTTTTATGCGTCCTCCGTGTCTCGGGCGGAGAATTCACAGAGAAACTTATTCCACTCTCAAGCGAATCGCTCAAGAATGCAGAGCAAGAGACCAGCAAGGATAGATCGATAAAAGCCTGCGAGCTTGACTTTTTGAACAGATAAGCCGACAAACCGACAACGCTCCTTGTAGGAGGAAAAGAAAGTTGTCACGACAACGGCGATGCTTGTACTTTAGATCGAATCTTTTTCATGCTCAGTCTCTTCTCGTTATTTAATATTATTACGTAAGATAGAGCTCGCCTGTTTTTATTCTTTCATGTTTTTCTGATGCTTTTACAGAGTGTTAGTTTGAACGGCCCATGATAAAGCAAAGTAATGAGACTAGTCATTGCCAAAAGCTATCCTTATATATCCGTTGGATTCTTATAATTCGGCATAATGTTCTTGCAAATTTTCTGTACAAAGTAGATAAAATCCTATCAAATTTTTAATTTTTTAATAATGCCATGATTTATGTAGAAATGCAATTAATTCGATTGGTGGTTAGCATTGCGATATAAATTCGAAAGATCAATATTAAGAAAATTTTGGAAAAAGATTTTATTTAAGGCAACTAGGGCGCGAAGTTAAATCTGATGTTCGATCTGTAAGGTCAAACGTTCAGATTCAAGAAATGAAGGAACTTTAGAAATATATTAAATATTGTAAATATTTTTTTGAATTGTGTAAATATCATTTTTACTTTTTTTTCACATGATTTTTTTCTCGAACCTTACCAAATTATATCAAATTGGTATTCTTTGTTTAGATACAATTTCGGTCAGCACTAAAAGAATAAATAAAATGATTCAAGAGGCGAATATCCAAAAAATGTGTTTTCCTTGCATCTGATCATCAAACACATTTGTTTTTATAAAGATTAGTAGAGACGAAGAAAGGTAGCATCATTAGAAGGGTTTGGAATGCTATCTATTCACGCTTTAATTAATTGTAAATTCTATACATTTTGTACTATTTATACATCGGTATATATAAAGATGCAAGTATTCAAAAATGTTTAATTTTGCAAGATCGTTTTGATTGTCATATTTTCTAAAAAATTTGGCGAAAGCACAAACGACGAGCATCTTTTCTTCGTATGTATGCTGTTGTGCATACATAATATATCTTTAAGCTCATATCTTACTTTTTTTCCAAGATAATTTATGGAGGTCGCCCATGGCTGTCTAATCAGGTTGAAATCGTCGAAAGAATAATGTGGGCGTTAATAGTCTGCGCTTTTAACCGGATACCACCTTTTTATGGGTCGAATGAGCGCGGATCGTAAATTCTCTGCACCGCTGCTTAGCTTTACAAAAGACACTTCGTAGAAAGACAAATCACCCGGGAAGCGGATCGTAAGACGAATACGATCTTTTAGTAGCAATAAAACTAATCATCGCCTGTCTAACAGAGTCACCCACTAAATCTATCACTTTTGTTAGTGCTTTCAGAGGTGATCGACGTTAGCAACAAAATATAGATGTCATTATTTTAACTATAATTATCATTAGATATTTTATTAATCTGTAATAAAAAACATTTCAGCTTGAAAATCGAAAGAAACGATATTTACATGAAAATCTTCCTTCGGTATTCATCTTCGTTTTAGTGCGAAACCAGCTCTTCGTGTCAGCGAGAATGGCTTTTTACACCTGCATGCAGGACCGGATCTTTATAATTATCACTAATTTCTACAGGAAAGAGAGAGAAAGAGAAAGAGAGGGAAAGAGAGAGAGACAGACAGACAGACAGACAGATACGCAGACAGACAGAGAGAGACTGAGAAACCGTAGTTAAGATCTCGGTTCCAATGGAAATGGAATCTTTTCTGAGTCATCATGGCTTCTTCGTTGTTCTATTTTCAAAGTAAAAGTTTCATGGGAGTGTCATCTGCATTTGCTTCAATTGCGGACGACATTAAAAACAGTTTTAACGCAAATTTCTTTCACGAAGAGAACTTTTTTTCATACGTTTATGATATTTCTTAGAAGCTTTTCGCTTCTTTTCTTCTTTTTAGAGATACGCTTAATACCGTAATCTTCTTCAAAGAGTACAAAAACTGCCACTAAAAGGTCAAACGTGAGTGGTAAAAAAATGTTGAAATTGACAATGACGCATGTTAGATACGATTACTCGGTTCGATAATCTTTGGATATTCGTCGGTGGGTATAGCTTGCCATTAAAATCATACTTTATCATTGAAATACTCGTACTAAATCCTTAGATCGAAATTAATTGCACGAACCCGAATTTGGTTCGAAACGATTTTTAATGAATATAGTTGAGTTGTAACATATGAATATATTCTAGGAATACACTGTTATTAAATATACAACTGTTAAAATAATTTAAAAACGAGGCAGTTCTTTAATGTGTTATATAGATGTTCACGTATTGGAAATCTAATACTGAATGCTTTCGACTAACTAATCAGAAAAACGCCTGGAGAAAATTAGAAAAAGGAAAAGGAAGTAAAAGTTTAACAGTAAAAAATGTATTATAAGAGTTAACTGTAAATAGTGCCTGCGCTGTGACTAAAAATGGATACTTCAAGGTATCTATAATATTAGTATTAATAATATTTTATTATGGCACTTAAGACAAGTTTATATCCCTACTTCTTGATTTTTTTGCTCAATCTGACATTTCAGAAAATTAAGCATTTACGAAAATATTTAAACATAAATAAGCGTTGACTATGGACTCTTAGTCGCGTTTGTCTATGGAATCTATAAAGAAAGTAAGATTCAACGAAATTTTAAGAAAAAGTATCTGATTGTCGTAAAAAAGATCTTTAGTCTAACGTTTATAGCACATACAAGGATGTTCCATATGTGTCTTAACAAAAAAAAAAAAAAAAAAAAAAAAAAAAAACAGAAGTTGTTTTGCATATCGAAGAATTGCATTATTTACACGTTGCATTATACCCGACGTGCGATAATGTGATATTGCGTTCATTCATTAATTGTCAATAGTTTCTTCCACTTGTAAGACTTTTTATAGTTATGTCTGTCACATTACTGCGATATTTGAATATTGTACTATCAACGTCATTCTTGTCTTCATCGTCCACGTAGAGGTAATCGAAAAAAATGCTAAGTAATTAATTATCATTGCGTCAGCGATATCACAGCCTGATAAATTACGATCGTTCGATTCACCATCGTGTTTCTATCTTCCGCACTAATGAACCAGTTCATCTAACCTTTATTATTTTCGAATTGAGCTTTAATTATCCTGTTACTGGCTCGATGATCAAGCATGGCGAATCGTATCCGATCGTAGCTTCTCCATGTACGATCGTCCGAACGAAGAATGTGACCATTAGATAGTGTAAACAGCCACTAGGAAGCGATCGCTATCACGGTGATCATCGTCCATCGGATTCGACCAATAATTGAAATCGTAAACACTGTCGGTGATGGTTCATTGAGTTTACGCACGCATATCAACACAGTCTGCGGTCAACACAGTCTGATGTCGAGAAATGTCGGGACGTGTATCTTCATCATACTTAAACAGTCATACACATTCCTGTGGTTTATTTCATACGTGTATTTCCCTTTGTTGTATTTCTAAGACAATAATAGAAATCGCGCTTTATCTGATCCATGAAGTTTTAGTAAAGAAGAAAAAAAGCACTAAAAAAGAAAAAAGAAACGATCGTTATTCTGTGTTTAGTTTGCCTGTAAGAAACAAAATTATTTTTACTCAATAATCGTGCTCTCTCGGTCGATATATATAGTTCTTTTTATTCCCTGGAAAGTTCTTGCGACTGTTCGCGAGAAACAAATTGGAAATTGACAGAGCAAAATAATCTCTTTCACCGAACGAACATTTAACTCGAAGTTGGGCTCAATTGATTGTAATAGTATCCCTTGGTAATCTTTAGTCGAGTTTTTCTTTCAAAATAGATATAGATATAGATATAGAGCCAAGGTGATTATTATTTTACATATTTTAAGTATATTTTATCGTTGCGGCGTCTTCTATTTCGCGCTTCGTTTTGCATCAAGTAGGAAATATTCCTCTCATTCGTTCGTTCCTTCCTTGGCAAATCGTTGAGTCATCCTCGAGACATCCATCAGATCCACTTTGTCGGCAATAGAATCGGAAGCACTCGAGACTGTCAAGCACGGTACCCGAAGATATTGCTCGAGAGAAGCAAGATAATGCACGTTTCTCCGACTACTTCACGATGAAGAGATTCCCTAGGAAAAGGGGTAAATGACCTGTTACGTTCTTATGACGCAAAACCGGCTGCTTAAGGAGATGGTGTATTTTTTATGTTAATTATTTTTATTGGCGAACGTATTCATAAAAGGATGAGAAAAGATCCTATAAGCTGAATGTTTAAGTATTTTTGAAGGTCCTTGAAAAGATTATAATTCTTGTTAAGCCTTACTTAATCCTTACAAAAATTAAATATTTATTCGACCGCGACCTTTCAAGGCAATAAAACATATAGTAGAAAAAACTTTCTCTTGCGTAATCTAAGTGACCATGTGTAAAACTGATTCTTCCTTCTCATCATATTTTTTTCGATTACAACAGGATGAAGTTATTTTTTCAATTTTTTTTAAAGAATTTTTGCCAAAACTCCACTTTTACCAGTCTGCAGATAAAAAGAGAATTCTGGAGCTTACTCGTATCGGAACATTTTGGTACTTATCTTTCATATTTCATACGCGCTACTTTTTCGTAAACATACTACTTGTATCAAATAAGAGTATACCAGATTTGAATTTATTACACTATTATAGTTCATATTTAAAGTAAACTAGATTTATGGAATTCTTTGATTACGATTTATTTGTAGATTTCCTAAAAATAAAATGAGGAATGCAAAATTAATTTGGCGCATATCAAGTCGCAGCTGATTACCTCGATCAAGGAAAGGTGAAAAGGACAAGACGATTACATAGAAT